TAACATTCACCTTCTCTGTCCATGCATGCTTTGATTGGCTGCCTTAGTAAGGAAGCTACGCGTCAGCCTTGCGCTTCCTGCTTCCTGTTGTGTCCAAAATGCGAAGACAAAGCCCCTCGCGCTGAACCACATTCCTGCAGTATTTTGGAAAGTGAAACATTGGCTAAAAACACCACAGTAGCTTTAGAATTCAATTGAGTATTGCCGTGTAAAATAGTTTTTCTAAATTGTAAATAAATTTTACAAAAAAAATTACTCTTTCAGTATTTATACATCAAAATTTCACATTTAATTCAGTGTGTTACTTGCTTTGTCTTTGTAATTACTTTAATGTTTTTTTAAATTAATTTAATTGCAGAAAAATTAAAAATCAATACTATTTTGTCTGACAAAAACTATTTATTTTACAAACCCAATTCCAAAAAAGTTGGGACACTGTACAATTTGTGAGTAAAAAAGGAATGGAATAATTTACAAATCTCATAAACTTATATTTTATTCACAATAGAATATAGATAACATATCAAATGTTGGTTGAATACTGCATCAATTACAACATCATGGCTGCGTAGAAGAAAGATCCGGGTACTGAAATGGCCAGCCTGCAGTCCAGATCTTTCACCCATAGAAAACATTTGGCGCATCATAAAGAGGAAGATGCGACAAAGACCTAAGACAGTTGAGCAACTAGAAGCCTGTATTAGACAAGAATGGGACAACATTCCTATTCCTAAACTTGAGCAACTTGTCTCCTCAATCCCCAGACGTTTGCAGACTGTTATAAAAAGAAGAGGGGATGCCACACAGTGGTAAACATGGCCTTGTCCCAACTTTTTTGAGATGTGTTGATGCCATGAAATTTAAAATCAACTTATTTTTCCCTTAAAATTATAAATTTTCTCAGTTTAAACATTTGGTATGTCATCTATGTTGTATTCTGAATAAAATATTGAAATTTGAAACTTTCACATTGCATTCTGTTTTTATTCACAATTTGTACAGTGTCCCAACTTTTTTGGAATCGGGTTTTTAGTTTCTTTTTACGTCAAATTAATGTTACGCCTAAGTGAATTTAGAAAACACAAAATAAATAGTTACATTAATATATGTATTATTTTGTTGGTAAAGAAAAGAAAAACAATCTAAAAACACAACCTCCACAAAGAAATTTTAATTTATTTTAATTATTTCCTATATTTCCTAGCAATTTCTGAGCGAAAATAGTTTCAAAGCAAATCTTACATCACGTTTTTTTCATTGTGGCTTGAAAAGTTTGTAGATCTGATTCCTTACACAAGTGTTTTGAATAAGTTTTGAGTCTTTTGTAAACTTTTTGCATAAAAGGATTAAAGCAGCCCTCCAAACGCCGTCAGGTTTTTGTCCGTGGCTGTTAAGAAGCCAGCCAGCGCATTAACGCGTCATGCGGCATCTACACTATTCGAAACAAGTGTTTTCTCTCTCACTGCCCTGAGTGGCATTCTGCGCCTGTTGTCCGGACTGAATGGGCCGTCGAATGTTGTGCTAGACGCTCACATGTGGCAATGTGGCAAGCGAGGGGACTTAAGAAATTGGAGATTACGAGTGGAGAGCCGAGAGGGGGGCGATATGAAACGGGGTTCGCAGCAGCAGCTGTTTGGCCCCTTTCGCTGTGAATAGGACAATTCTTTTTCTTCCCCTACTCCCCCCTTTCCTTTCAAATCCCACCAGGACTCGTTATCCCTCTCTCCCTCAGTCCCCCTGTCTCCCACACTATCCCCACCTCCGCAGAGGGGCGCGTTAATGAGTTGCAGTAAAGTCTCCACAACAGCTGGCACAGAAACAAGATGAGGAGTCAACTTGAAAGAAGGAATAAATAACACATTGGCTCGATCTTCGCTGCCACGCTGAATTCTTTTCATGCTGCGAGTTTTCTTTTGAAATAAGAGAATGCGTGCTCTCAAATATTAGAGGTAATGTATACCACCGTTAACCCCCTTCCTGTGAGGGAGAGCAAGTGGCTCAACCCAAAACAAGGCCTCAATTGATACAAAGCATTCAGGAAGGAGGAAGCACCCTACTATGTAATTATAACTGTTTGGCAAATCTTCAGATAACAAACCATTAGAAAATGGAAACAATGCTTTGGTATGTGACCACTGTGCTACAGAAATACAATGACTGCAAAAAGTATTTTCTCATTTTTTTGCCACACTTAAAAATTGCATTAATATACACATTTTATCTTTATTTATTATAATAGTATATATATCTTTTTTAGCTTATTATAAGCTACATTATTTTCTAATGTGATTATAAATAATGATTATAAGCAAAAATATATTTAAAATAAAATAATTACATTACATTTACATATATTTTATTATAATATTATATTTATTCTAATATCCATCTTCTCTTATTTGACACTAAGGTATTAAAATAGTACTATTAAAAATCTTTTAATGGAAATAATAAATAAAATGAAGACAAAAAAGTGGGGAAACTGCAAAAGCTGCTGCATGGCGTTTTATACTGATAGACTTCCTCATCACAGGTATATGTTTCGCATTTCTTCAAAGTGTCTTAATACTGACATTTTTGAGCAAATGTCAGTAATCATCTCTCTCTACTCTCTACTCTCTCTTTATACACTGTCTTTGCCTCTGGCAGTATTTCAACACACAAATACAGATATTTCACCTGATCAGACACATGGTGTACATGATTGTGTAATATTGCCACCAATAATCTAAGCCTTGCGTGTGTCTGAGCTTGTTGCCTGACTGATAAAACTTGCTCTTGAAACTGAAAACCAGATATCACAGCTTCATTGTGAAAGTAAATAAATGGTTCTGTATGTGGCTGCTCCAAGAAACTAAAGAGCCAGATTCAGAACGGAAGCAGTGTGTGTTTGTGTGTGCATAGGGTGGTGGTGGATTGTGAATGAGAGTCTGGACAGCGGAAGGACATGAGCTGGGCATGTTGGAATGCTTCTAGACAGATTCCGAGGACACCTTCCTTTTTCTTCCTGTTTGTACATTTACAAAGTCTGATTGACTAAATTTATGCTTAATTTTTTTTGTGACCCCGAAAAGATTTTGATTAAAAGTCATACACGTTTGAAAATCCTTTTTTTTTTTATTATAGAATGCGGTTGTAAATCATCAACATTCATCATCAACATTTTTTTTTTCGTACATTTTTTGTGGCCCCAGATTTTGGACACACTTGAACACACAAGTCTTACTTGTATGACTTCACATTTTAAAGCTTTTATGACATTTAACCAACTGATCTCAAGGTGATTTTTAGGTTATGTATGATGTAATTTCCTCTCAAGTTTACACAGGTGTCCAATTTAAAGGAGTAACCACAGGTGTAGTTCATCACATTAACTATGGACATGTTCTGTGATGTTTGACAACCACAGCCTGTCCAAATACTTAATTTTATACAGTACATTTATCATGTAAAACTTAAATCTTGTAAAGTCATTGTGCTGCTGCAAGTAAATACTACATTATTTAAAGGGGTCATATGATGCGATTTCAAGTTTTCCTTTCTCTTTGGAGTGTTACAAGCTGTTCGTGAATAGATAAGATCCCTAAAGTTGCAAAGACTAAAGTCTCAAACCCAAAGAGATATTCTTTATAAAAGTTAAGACTCATCCACGCCCTCCTAAAACACCTTGTTTAAACAAGCCCCCACATGTTTACGTCACGATGTGGGAAGAAGGGCGGAACACCGCCCAAATGTTCACACAAAGAAAGAAGGCATAACTTTTATATTGTCACTGTAATATTGTTACGTGAAGGTGCTGTGTGTTTCGTTATGAAAGTGAAACTACTTCGTTTGGCCTTCCAAAAGAGGACACAACTAGAAATCAGTGGTTAAGTTGTATTTACGTACGTTTTCATATTTAAAGGATTTGCCGCTGATGATTCAAATGCGAGTTTTGAGAAGTGTAGAGTAGCGCTTGTTGTTTGTCATTTCTCCGATCACAAATGCAGACATGGTTTTATGTTTACGTGGCGCGATGTAACGCAATGCGTAAAAAGACAGTATAAATCATTATAATCAGTAATTATGTCCCCACTGGATGCAACAAATGCCTCGTTTATAATGGGTTTTATTGTTTTTGTCTCATCGCGCCGGCCGGGACACGGCATCACAGTATGGTAAGGAGCGTAACATTTCCGTCACACGCTTGAGGTATTCGGCCAATCACAATGCACTGGATAGCTGGCCAATCAGAACACACCTCGTTTTCAGAACGATGAGCTTTGTAAAAATCGACACGTTTCAGAAAGGCGGGGCATAGAGGAGAAACAATAATGTACAGTATGTGGAAAATAATGTGTTTTTTAACCTTAAACCGCATAAACACATTTCATTACACCAAATACACCAAATAATGTTCTTTTTTAGCAACGTTTATGACCTTTTTAATATTTTGTTGTATAATGCAAAGACATTCATGTATTTTTAAGTGTGGCTTAGTGGTCCAAAGACTTTTTGGGACCACTGTATGTCTAATATATTGTATAATCACTGTATGAATAATATAATGTAATATATGATACGTATATATGTCTAAATGTATAATATCTACTAGACTTGGTTGACAGCAACATTCTTCTTCTTTATTGAATTCTTTGTTAGATGCAGCATTCATCCTGTCTGTTGGTTTTATGCGTTTTGTTCTGTTTTCTCTCGTGGTGGAGTTTTGAGAGCAGAGGTACCGTGCTGGAATGTGGGATGACTGGTCCTGTTTGTTGAGAATGGGGGGGATGGTTCACACAGGATGAGTAGGAGTGTGCTTAGTCTTGCTCTGTCAACTTTGTGCACTCTTGCACAAAAAAAAAGCTGTAGAGAAAAAAAAACATCTTCAAAGGAGGTTAATTTACTGTGTTCATACATAGATGATCACTTGACATGTATATACGCTGTGAGCAGTTTAATTGCACAATTTGCTCTCATCCTCATCCAAGTCATCATACATGTGCTTTTTTTTCTTGCAGAATGTCAGTCTGGCTTCTTCAAATCGTCAGTGTCCAGTGAGGCCTGTAAACCCTGTCCAAAAAACACCCAGCCCTCAGGTCATGGCGCCACCAGCTGCACCTGCATGGACGGCTTTTATCGAGCAACTGAGGACCCCAAAACAGCCGTTTGCTCTGGTGAGAAGCTGCTTCTACATCTCACCTGTCATGAGCTAGTTGCTGTCATTTTGTATTTACATACAATATCCTTTCTCTGTCACTCTTTTCTGTAGGGATTATCTAAACCAGTACAGGTGAATGGGTAAATAAAAGGCTTGTCTGCTCTTTGTCTGCTCAGGTTTACCCTCCGCTCCTCAGAGTCTGGTGGCCACCACAGCTCAGATGTCAATAGGCAGGCTTCAATTGTCATGGAGGCCCCCTGCAGACACCGGCGGGCGCAGTGATATCACATATACTGTGGTTTGCGAGCGTTGTGAGGGGAGGGCATGTCAGCCTTGTGGAGAGAAAGTGCGTTTAGATCCAAGCAACACTGACCTGAAGGAGACCAGAGTCACTGTGAGTGAACTGGAGCCCCATTTGAACTACACCTTCACCGTGGAGGCACGGAGCGGAGTGTCCCAGTTCAGCAATAAGAGAGCCACCAGCAGCATCAACACTGCTTTACATTATACAGGTTGGTGCTCTAACTGATCACGGTAGTAGAAAGCAAAGTGGCCAGTTTAACAGATTTACTAACAGAAAAATTGAAAAAAAAAATTATACCGTTCAAAAATGTGGGGTTAATAAGATTTGTATTTATTTATAAATTAATACTTTTATTTTTAAGCATTAAATTAATCAGAAATAACAGTAAAAACATTTGTAATTTATAAAAGCATTTATTTCTAAAGGATCATGTGACATTGAAGACTGGAGTAATGGCTTCTGAAAATTCGGTTTTGCCATCACAGGAATAAATGACATTTAAAAATATATTCAAATAGAAAATGGTTATTTAAACTGTAATAATATTCCACAATACTAATGCTTTTTCATATACATTTTGATTACTTAAATGCAGCCTTGATGAGAATAAGAGACTTCTTTAAAAAAAAAATTATAATAATTGTACCGACCCCAAACTTAAAAAAAAAAATAGTGGGTTTTTTTAATTCTCATTTTCAGTCTCTCAATTTTAACTCTTTCATTTCATTTTCACTATTTTTTCTTTTGGCAATGAAAACTATAAAAAATATATTTTAAAAATTATAGTAGTAGGCTTTAATTTAGGTTTAAACATGCAGCAGAAATCTGATCGTTTTAGTTTTTGTAGTATAAACAGCTAAAAACAGACACAAAGTCGGATGTTTACAAACCTTATTCAAACCACATCCATTTGTGGTTTGAACTCCGATTAAAATCAGATATTTTGTGAATTATAGTCTGTACGGTGACTCCAGTCAGATCGAATTTCAGGTTTTTTTTCCTAACCCTATTGAAAGTGCACAGTGTTTACTGGGACTGTTTCCAATTACACTCAATTTTCCCCTCACTATAGAAAACCATGTGACATTCACTATTTGCACACAGTCCTAAAGATCAGATTTAAAAGTTTTGGGTGTACAATGTAAACAAGCTCATATACGTCAGAGACTCAAACTTAACTGTTGTTTTACCGCCAGATCCCCCAAAAGTGACTGCGATGCATCTTGTGGACAGCAGCTCCACCAGCCTGTCGCTTCAGTGGTCTGTTTCTCACCGTTCCAAGCCAGTTGCCACACGTTATGAACTGATGTATCGCAAAAAGGTCAGTTACAATATCCATTTCAGTCTTAATACGTAACTGCAAATCTTGATCCATGATGTTATTCTCCATTTCATCATCTTGCTTTCATTGTCATGTCTACAGGAAAATGATGAGGAGATAGCCAATGGAAAGGTCACTACCTACACTGTGCTGGTGCTGGAAAAGAACTTAGTTCAGATCAGTGATCTGTCTCCTTCCACCGTCTACTTGTTTAAAGTTCAAGCTCTCAGCCCAGAAGGAAACCCAGGCAGCTACAGCTTGGAACAGGAGTTTTCAACGCTCCCGCAAGGTGAACAAAGTGAAAATGTTTGCTTTTATGAAATCAAAATTGTATATTTATGGTTTTCAGTTCTCTGGATTTGAGGCCATTTATGTGTTCACATACCTAAATACTGACAAAATTCACTGTTTAAAATGTACAGGCTTTTTCTTAGTGGAAAATGAACCAAAATACTGATGACTCATTCTGCACTACACAGATATTTGTACACAGTCCAATCAAATGTTCTCTAGAATGAGAAAGTCCCGCCCCCAATACCACCAGCAAATCAAGTTCATGGCTATGACGTAACTACATACTATTGGCTATTTAAAAAAGGGACAAACAGATAAAGACATGTTACGCCCAAATTTCCTGTTTCAAAATGCAATACATCAACACAGACAAAAGGACTGTTCTGGGCAAGCAAATTCATTGGGTCTTTTATAATTAAAAATATATACATTTTAATATAATTGTACAATAAAATGTTCTATTGTTTTTCTTCTTCTTATGAATGGATTCTTTTTTTTAAATCAGTGTCAGAATGTGTTGTTTTGGGGGGGGGGGTTTAATAACCTACTTGTCGTTAAGTGACAGATAATGTTTCTTTGCTCTTTTATGTTATGGAGTGTGCTTTATTCTTGAATGACTCATTTGCTTGGCTGCTTTGTTGTTGTTTTCCCAGCTTCTCAAAAAACAGGAAACACAGCAGTGGTCCTCGGGGCCGCAATCGGAGGAGGCGTCATGCTTTTCATCGTGGTAGTGGTCCTGCTTCTGCGAAAACGGTTAGCAACAAGCACTTCACGCACACACCCGGCTTTGTACCTCTCCCCCAGTCACTCCTTCAAGCCGTTCCTTTTCTTTCTCCTTAAAAATCCATTCAGTGTTTCCCTTTCACCGCTCTCACACGGCTCCTTACCACTTTTGAGGAAGAATCAATTCACTGACTGCTCACTAAGTGTATCTTAACAAGAGGCGTGTTTGAAAGGAGATGAATCAGAGAGGCATATTGTGTAAGACAAGAGGTGACGGGATTGTAGCAGTTCTGTGAAGGCGACCTGAGCCCTTCGTAGTTCCCTGTGATAACCCAGACCTCTCACCACTTGGCAAACACAGACCACTTTTTTTCTAAGCACTCCTCGACTGAATGGAGCCGGTCCAGCGCTGGCTACTCTTAAAACTCAAGTCTGAAAAGAAATCTGTGGGTTTGCTGAAAAACAGAGCACTCATTGAGTTGTTTTTCTTCTACAGGCGAAGAAACTCTCACACCAGACAAGGGCCAGAGGACGCCTATTTCTCCAGCCCAGGTTAGTGGCATTGAATTTCATTTGGTGGCTTTCTTCTTTTACAACCCCTCCTCTTAAATTCTCCCTGAATTATCTTCAATGCAGACCAGTTGAAGCCGTTGAAGACCTACGTTGATCCTCACACGTATGAAGACCCCAACACGGCGGTGCTCAAGTTTGCCAGCGAGATCCATCCTAGTCACATCACAAAGCAGAAAGTCATCGGAGCAGGTTAGTACATCCATGGTAGTCTGACAAGCCGCTGTGGGGCTGTTTTGAATGCATTCTTCAACACTCATTGATTTGAAGTTATGTTACAGTTCATTGAGAGTGACAGCTTTTTTACAGTTCATTGGAGTGACAGTTTAAAACAAGGCGCACATTAGAAATTGTCTGATTCGAGCTTTACATGTTAGAGCTGGAATATTTTTAGCGTAGTTATTCTTTCCCTCCAGAGACGTTTTTTCCCCTCCCAATGTCATTCAAATTGAATTAGTGTTGTTTTCTTAACCCGCTCTGGAGGTTTTTTTCATATCCCACATGGAGGAGTACTGCTATAAAAAACCTGAGTTAATTAATCATGACTTAAAAATAAAACAAACAACCGCTAAATTAGACCTAAGTCCTAAAGTGTTTATAGGCTAGATATCAAATGTCAAATTTAAATGAGAAGATCAGTGCGCCATGGTCGCGTTTCCCTTGTCCACTTTTTGTCTGCTTGTTGTACACAGATTCTCATGCCCCTTCTGACCCCCTCCCATGAATCCACTCACTAATGTTCATAGGCTTCTTCGTGGCCAGCTGCATGCTGGTTATCATTTCAAAGCACCTCCTTCATGTTTTTAAATAACCCCTATATGTCATGAGGCACGATTAAAGTGTTGTCATTTGATGTGTTGCTTATCTGATGCCTGTATGCCTCTCACTTTGGTGGATTGCTGTAGGTGAGTTTGGAGAGGTGTATCGAGGAATTCTGAAAGCTCCCAGTCGCAAGGAAACAGCGGTAGCAATAAAGACGCTAAAGCCAGGATACACAGAGAAACAGAGGCAGGACTTCCTCAGTGAGGCCAGCATCATGGGACAGTTCTCACATCAGAACATCATCCGACTGGAGGGGGTGGTCACCAAATGTGAGTGCCCTATTAAGTGTAGTCTACATCTAGTTTTATAATAAATTTGCGTTTAAAAAATAAATAAATATATTTGTAAAAATTCCCAAAAAAGAATGTATTATTTATTAGATAATAAATAATGTGATTTATGATTAAATTGTCAAGTAGATAGCGATATAATTATAATTAAATAAGCCCTTTAAAAAAAAAAAGAAAGAAAAAAAAATTAATATTTTATAGTATAAATATAAAAATGTTTGTATTAAAATTATAGTCATAAATTATTTGTATGATTAAATATATATTTCTTTGAATAAAAACATGGTACATATTTTTTAATTCAAGAAATTAAGGAATAAAATATTAATTTGGTTTAACTTAGTATATATAAAAAGTGCATATATATATATATATATATACACTTTTTAATTATATTTTTTATATACTTTTTATTATACTTTTTATTTTTTATACACCTTTTATTATTTTCTAATTTTATAGTATAAATATGCAAATAATTATAGAAAATGTATAGTAATAAATTATTTGTAGTAGTAAATATGTTTCTTTAAATAAAAACATGCTATATACAGTGGGTACGGAAAGTATTCAGACCCCCTTAAATTTTTCACTCTTTGTTATATTGCAGCCATTTGCTAAAATCATTTCAGTTTTTCTTTTTTAATAAATCTGCAAAAATGTCAACAATTCTGTGTTTTTCTGTCAATATGGGGTGCTGTGTGTACATTAATGAGGAAAAAAAAATAACTGAAATGATTTTAGCAAATGGCTGCAATATAACAAAGAGTGAAAAATTTAAGGGGGTCTGAATACTTTCCGTACCCACTGTATGTGTATGTGTGTGTGTGTATAGCGTTACAAAAAAAGTAATTTATTGTACTGTAAAAGTGTTGCATTAAATAAATATCAATAAACGTTTTTGTTGTTACTTGAGTTTTATCCTCTGAAAATATTTACTGAGAACTTACATTTGTTTTTACTTTTAGTTTTGTAAAGCCGCTTTGTGTCTTTGTTTGTTTTCAGTCAAGCATGCCATGATTGTGACTGAGTACATGGAAAATGGAGCTCTTGATAAATACCTGAAGGTTCGTTTGTCAAATTCATCACTGAGGCAGGAAAATTATGACAGATGATACTGACATACCTTCAAAGTGATTTAACATAGCAAATAATTTACTCAAGAATTCCCTTGTGTGGAACTAGAAATAAAACTCTTACTACTTCACAGGATCATGATGGCGAGATGTCATCCTTCCAGTTGGTTGGTATGCTCCGTGGCATTGCGGCCGGAATGAAATATCTCTCAGACATGAGCTATGTACACAGGGATCTGGCTGCCAGAAACATCTTGGTCAACAGCAACCTGGAGTGCAAGGTGTCTGACTTTGGTTTGTCACGTGTTTTGGAGGACGACCCTGAAGGAACCTACACCACCAGCGTAAGTTCACATAGCAAATAAATGTGTGGCTACAAGCTGCTCTTAACTCCAGATGTCTTTATTTTACCATCACTACAACCTGGTTATTATTTCAGGATTTTCAGAAATTACAAGGGATTGCCGACACTTGTTTATATGTTTTATACTTGTTTTTCCCCAACAGGGAGGTAAAATTCCGATTCGTTGGACTTCTCCGGAGGCCATAGCTTACAGGAAATTCACGTCAGCAAGTGATGTGTGGAGTTTTGGCATTGTCATGTGGGAGGTCATGGCCTTTGGAGAGAGGCCATATTGGGACATGAGTAACCATGAGGTACAGACTGGCCACACCACGTCGGCTATGAACAATAACTCTGCTGTTTGTCTCAAAGGACCTTCCGTCTTATCTGACTACTTTTGTCTCTCTAGGTAATGAAGGCCATTAATGAGGCTTTCCGCCTTCCTGCTCCAATGGACTGCCCCTCTGCGGTCTATCAGCTGATGTTACAGTGCTGGCTGCAAGATCGCTCCAAACGGCCCCGCTTTGGCGACATTGTCAGCATACTAGACAAACTCCTCAAGAGCCCAGATTCTCTGAAGGCCATTGCAGATTTTGACCCTCGGTAAGCGCTCAACACATACTTTGAATTCTTAAAAGGCTCGTACAAAGCTTCACAAGGCGTGAACGGCAGAGAGAAGTTGAGGCATGTACCGTCTATTACACAATTTTGCGCAGTTCAAACAAAGTCATTCCTTGGTAAAGATAAGACATGCAACCACGTACCAGTGGTGCTGCTGAATGGTTTGGCATCTTCACATTGTAGGCGTGCAAGAGGGAGAAATCTGACAGTTCCGTATCTTAATCAGATTCTCGAACCGAACAGACAGGTTTTCCTCTCGCAGTGTGTCTCTTTCCCACCCAATAATTACAATAAGGGAAAGGCAAAAAAAGGTCTCAGTGTGTGGTTTGTTGAATGTATTTGTGTTCTGTCTTTGTCAGAGTTTCCATTCGGCTTCCCAGCACCAGTGGCTCAGATGGCTCTCCCTTCAGGTCTGTGGCCGAGTGGCTGGAGTCCATCAAGATGAGCCAGTACAGTGAAAACTTCAGCATAGCCGGAATCGTCAGCATGGAGCAGGTGCTGCAGATGAAGAGCGAGTGAGTAACACAAATTTCCCCTCATTCTGGACCTTTAGCACGCTATACAAGGGAAGAATGGCTGTGAGCAATCAGATGAGATCATGCCAACTGTCCAAAGTCCATTTCTGCAGAACTGATTTCTGCTTTACTTGCTGTGTCATATCCTGGTGTCCAGATAAACGGGGTTTTCAGTAGATTAAAACTGTATTTTTTTCTATAGTTAATTCGCTCAAATTTAGTCTCTAAATATATAGAGACTGGAGTCATAAAAAGTTTTTTACTTGTTCTGTTATCATGACTGTTTGCCCATAAATGGTGTTTCTGCCATACAAAGACTGCAAATGTCCTTATTTTTTGTTAAACATCTTAATAATTTAATTTATAAATAAATGAGCTGTTTTGACGAAATGTCTCCACCATGTACAGATAAATGACAGTTCAAAGAGTAGTTATTATAGTGAAAATAAATAAATAAATAAAATAAAATGTATTATTATTATTCTTATTCTTCTTATTATTTAATAACAATAACATATTATAACTGGTGGTGGATGAGGAGATTCCCCCCTTTCATGTAAAGCACTTTGAGTACCCAGAAAAGCTCTATATAAATGTAATGAATTATTAATTAATTATTAACAAATTATTATAACAACAAAAACAATAATAATAATAATAATGAAAATTATTATTAAAACAAAATAGTTAACGTAATGTTTTTATTAATAATAATAATAATAATTATTATTATTATCTCACTATTCAAATATGTAATTTCGTTTATATTTGCATGTATTATTATTATTATTAATATTGCTATTATTATTACCACTGTTCAAAAAATTATTTAGAATTGTAATTTCACATAAAAAATTGCACTGTTTGGAGATACAGTATCCTATTTTGTAAACGTCCTTCAATTTTCCCTCTTACATAATACAAAATTAGTATTCTGACATTATGTAAAATAGTCCTTTGAATAAAATGGCCCAGATGAACACAATTTGAGAGTTCTGGGAATTTGGGAAGGAATTCAGGGTGTTTGGAGAGCTTCCTTTCCTGTGGCCTACAGCCTACACTGAGGCTGATTGGTCAGGACAAGATCGTATTTAAATAAGATGGTATCTTTTAACTTTTAATAATTCCTAGAACATATAAATATTTTCCATGTTTTTGTTTTAGGGATCCGGTAATTGAATGTGGCTTAAATGTATGCTTTGGTTGCAAGGATAATCTCACACAACCGCAGACCATTTTTGATTTACTGTATCTGGCGAGCGCGGAAACCACATAAATTGTAATAACGATTTAACCTTCTTAAGACTTTTAATCGAGTCAAGCAGTAACAATTTACTTAAAAACGTAAAAACCTTTCAGCAGCATCTCAGCAAACACCTTAAAATGCTATTCATTGATTCAAGTTTGAACGGAAAACACTGTGGCAGCAGAGAAAGAATAGACGTGGCTTTTAGAGGCCTGGATGTGGTGAATTGTGGCATGCTGTTCCCCCTCCCCTCTTCTGCCATCCCTCCCTTCCTCCCACTGTTTCGGCAGACTCTCTCATCCCTCCCATTCCCAACAGCGCTAGTCAAGGCCTGTGCTTTCACTGTAGCCAGGAACCACCGTTTCTGCCTGCTGGGGCCATGAGGCTATGCGGCTGCTCCCCTCACATCAACACGATTGGACTTAAAAGTCAGGACATGAGATGAAAGAGTGTAGGGATGGTGAAGGAGAGAGCTGGTGTACATGTGGAGGTAAAGACGACAGTGCTGGACCTCACGGAGGAGGCAGTTTGACTGATGAAGGGGTTGGGAGTGTAGTGACAGCGTAGCTCCAAGACCACTGGCTCTGCTCCCGTGGGTGTTTTTAGCCTAGAAGCTCGCTGAACTTTGTGTGGAGGACCAGAAATGTCTTTGATGTGTTTGTCTTTTATTTTATGGCCGACTGTTCCATCTGGTGTCATCTGGTAGCACTCTTTAAAACCAGAAACTATTTACAAGTCCTCCGCTGCCTGTGCCGGCCAGCTCTGATTCATGGCGGGTGAAGGGAATCCTTGTTAAATCATCAAGGCGCTAATTAAAAATGTAATTAGGACTGTAATTAGCATGATAACATGCTATCTTTCAAACGCCTCCTCAAAATGACTTTTTGAAAGATTAGATTATGTATAATTTTCAAGCAACCTCCCACCGTGTTATCATCTTTGATGAAAACTAAAGCAAAGGCTAAGAAATAAATATCTTTGATATAAAAAAAATAAAATACATTTATTAAAAGCAAATAAAAAAAAAACTGGGGAACTAACCAAAAATACATTTTTTTAAATATATATTTTTGACTCCAGTTACATTGTAGTAAAAAACTTTGATTTGCATGGTGTCTTTGCTAAGACTAAAATAAAAATGAAGACTACAAAAAATCCTGTGATAAGTTATGAAAACTAAAACAGAAACTAAAGAATAAACGTTTTCTAAATAAATCAATAAACTGAAATAATAATAAATAAAACATATTTGGCAAAACTGAAACTAATCTCAAATACATTTCATGAGTCCAAAACCAAAATAATCAAAAATTAATTTATGCCATGTTTTAGTGTTCGATACATGCTGTATTATAAAATTGAGTGTATTAATTTGGCTAAAACTGACAAACCAAAATTGACAAAAACTCCACTCCCCTCAAAAAAAAAAAAACCTAACAAACAATTAAACTGCAAAGACAAACTGAAAATAAAACAAAAATTAAACATAAACATAACTCAGCAAAACTGAACCTGAACAAATACTCAAATAAAACGAAAATGGACATAACTTCATTGTTGTTTTAGTTTTAAATGGTATATTATAAAACTTCAAAAAGCATTTGCATGGGGTATTATAAAATGTTGCTAAAACTAAATCAAAACTAAGACTAAATTAAAAGAGAAACTATAGAATAAACATTTTGTAAATAAATAAACTGACAATTTTGGCCAGGATGCTTTTGTAAAAGAGATTTTTAATCTCAATGTGCTTTTCCTGGTAAAATAAAGGTAAAAAAAAAATAAAGAACTTGGCAAAACTGAAAATAAACTAAAATACCTATTAATGACTCCCAAGCTAAACTAAAATAAAATAAAATGAAAATGGACATAAATTCATGCTGTATTATAAAATTTAGTGTATTAACTTTGGCTAAAATGAAACAAAAACTGTGAGAACTAAACTGAGAAGACAGAATGATAAATAAAAATATAAACAAAATAAAAATGTCACAACCTTAATCACCCTGCCCTCCAGTTCTCACACACTCTTTCTTTTCTGTTTCCCAGGGATATTCGTAACATTGGCGTCCGTCTGCCGGGCCATCTGAAGAGGATTGCCTACAGTATCTTGGGGCTTAAGGACCAGACGAGCACCCTGAGTGTATTTGCAGTGTGAACGGTCTTTAAAATGCACCGAAGGGACCGAACCCTTTGGCCGTGGACTGAATAAACTCTCATCTGCCTCGGGATTGGACTGCAGGGACAGCCCTTGACCTGGCCATAACCCTCCAGTGCAGCGAGATGGACTCTCACCGCTGTGGAGACGAGTAGCATTTGGTGTACTTATCAAAGATGGAGGAAGTGTAAAACAATCAAAAAGCTATTGATGTATGCATCAAACCATGTATATTAGATATATTTTTACCATACGCATACTTAATGACTCCCAAGCTAAACTAAAATAAAATAAAATGAAAATGGACATAAATTCATGCTGTATTATAAAATTTAGTGTATTAAATTTGGCTAAAATGAAACAAAAACTGTGAGAACTAAACTGAGAAGACAGAATGATAAATAAAAATATAAACAAAATAAAAATGTCACAACCTTAATCACCCTGCCCTCCAGTTCTCACACACTCTTTCTTTTCTGTTTCCCAGGGATATTCGTAACATTGGCGTCCGTCTGCCGGGCCATCTGAAGAGGATTGCCTACAGTATCTTGGGGCTTAAGGACCAGACGAGCACCCTGAGTGTATTTGCAGTGTGAACGGTCTTTAAAATGCACCGAAGGGACCGAACCCTTTGGCCGTGGACTGAATAAACTCTCATCTGCCTCGGGATTGGACTGCAGGGACAGCCCTTGACCTGGCCATAACCCTCCAGTGCAGCGAGATGGACTCTCACCGCTGTGGAGACGAGTAGCATTTGGTGTACTTATCAAAGATGGAGGAAGTGTAAAACAATCAAAAAGCTATTGATGTATGCATCAAACCATGTATATTAGATATATTTTTACCATACGCATACGTTTATTTTTTAGAGAAGATATAGTCAATTCTTTAGTATCGTTTTTAAAAATTTTTGTTTAGTTTCATATGCATGCTTAATAATTTTCACCAGAGAGCGATCAATGCTAGTTAGCACTCACTCTACACTCAGATCTTATGTTGCTCCTCCAATGCTGTTGGCACTGTATTGCTCTGTACTTTTCAGCAAAACGAGAGAAAACCAGACCCACAGGTCTTTCTGTACCAGAAACGTGGACTCAAAGCTGGCGGTTATGGGTTTAACGTAAGACTTAACCATGTTCTGCTGAGATCAAGGTGATTGTAATGCTCTCTGGTTTCTATCATGCTCGAGTTGGCCATGATTTGATGTCTCGCACGATGACATTTCTTTACAATTGCACTCTCAGCGCTATATGCTTTGGACCATCAAGTTTAAAGTCTCTGGTTTAGATGAAACGGAGCAGCGAGGCGTTCCTTAAATCCTGTGTTTTCTCTGCAAACAAGAAGAGAGGAGGCACCGCCATGAAATAGCACTTAAATCAGAAATCTCAACAGCTGTCTCATCCCTTATCGTTATGAAAGGTTACGGCAGCGATGACATTAAGGATCGAAGGGAACAAAGAGCAAGCGAAATGACAAAATGGAAATGGGTTAAGAAGAAAAAACTGTTCTGGAACAGATTGTCGGACTAAACCAAATGGGAAAATGCGATCCGGCGGTGTTCTGCAAACAAATGCACGGTTCTGATTTTCAGATATTTGCACCAAGTGACAGTCCTAGCAAACTAAGGAAATGATCAAACAGACAGTTATGCGGACCAGGATATGTGGATGTCTGTTATTCATTCTGTATCAGCAGATTAAGGTCGCCTGGAGCTGTGAATTGCAGAGACTATCTTTGGCAGATCTGGTTTATGATTAACTGATCCAAGATATGCTGGGATGAAATTGTACGACCTTTCTTGATTATTTCCTCTGACTTATAGGACCTCAATATGATTTCACATGTGGGGTAGATAAGCCCCTTGCATGGAAAAAGTCTTTCTCCATGTTAAACTCCTTTTTTTGTATTTACAGAGGAGAGAAACAGCTACATAATGTCCTTAAATCTTAATGGATATTGCAGTTCCTTGTTAATTTCACTTTATTCTGATTATTTCTAGATGTTGATGTTGAAAGCAGATGGGTTCTTCCATACTTAGAAATGACATATTTAGTGTTTGTTTGCAGTTGATATTGTGTTTCATGTCTTTTTTTTAAGTGGGACGTTGATACTGGCAAACTGCACTTTTTTGGAAAGGGAAATTTGTCATTTTTGATCACCCATCTTGGTACTGACCTTTTTCTAAACATTGAAATTTGAAACGCTCAGTACAAACATACATATTTCCTAACAAAATACAGTTTGATTGGGCCAATTGTTTTGTATTTTATTTAATAGTCTATTTATTTTTTACTTTATTTATTGTTTTAATGACACTGAATTGGGATTTATTTGTATTGGAAGTTTGTCTTTCAGTCACAATAAAATTTTTGTATCTTCAATGTCACATCAATTTCTTTACTTGTTTCTTAAACAATAAAAAGGCATAATAGAATAGAAATTAAGTTGCTGCTTCTGATTACAGCTTCATTGTAATGCATTAAGCACTGCCGTAGTGAGCAAGTCAATACAGCTCAAGAATGCCAGTAGTTTTGCATGACTGCATTATCTAATTGGTCAAAGCAGTCCCTATTTAATTAGTAGCAGTCCATCTGTAAACTATGACAGAAACCATTGAACCTTATAACCCTTGCAGGACAATTTACTTTGTTCTCAATTTAGCCCCTCCTGTCCATAACCGCAGCCTCACTGAACTCAAATTAAGAGAGGCTTTTGTCGGGCACTCAGAGTATTGAATTTATCAGCTGCTGTTGAGTGATGCAGGCAACAATGCCACTAATGCACCCTTTTGATAAGGTGGAAAATGTCATGGTTGGAATGTAAATATTTATATGCGAAAATAATCGGACTGGGGAAGCTGGCTAAAGAATGAAATGCCATCATGGAAGTCAGACAGGTAGAGCAGGGAAACAAAATGTCCCGTATCCGTTTCTTTGACCTGCATTATGTCTGCATGTCTGTCATTGTCTAGGTAGCTTCGTCATCTTTTGTTCAAATGCCCTTGCACATGTGTCCTGGAATTATGTATTTTAGTTTTACACAATATGTGCCTCATCTCATGTGCTTCAGTGTGTATGCTGTAAAAAAATGAATATAGGGCACATTGTACTGTATTAATATGTAGGAAGATTCCTTGTTGATTTATTTTTACAGGTATTTCACCTGTGTTTTGATTTTTGCACTCCATTGCACGCATTAAGTTAACAGAAACATTGGTAAATTAATAAATAATATCCTGTCAGAAAATTACTAATGCATTTTTTTTACAGTGTGTGTTTGTCTCCCGTGAATCAGGAAAAAAGTTTTAACTTGCTTTAACCTCTGAAAGCATATTCATGTTCCACTGACTTCACTTAGGCCGCACAGCGCTGTTTCCTTTCCCCCCAATAGTAGCCATGGCTATTGAATCATACACAAAACTTAGATTTACATACAGACATACTGAAAGTAATGACTTGCAGTTTATCAAGTCAGATGTTAATTCATTAACCGCGCCGAGGGATTCAGTTCAGTGAACTCGTCTTTTGAACTATTCATTTAAACAACCGGTTTAAGGGAAAAATTAGTTTGGGAACAGGCTGCACTACTCGCGCTGTCTGTTTTTCATTCACTAAAACAAGAACCCATACGTCTCAAATGAGTCACTTGTTCGTTAATGAACTGTCTGCTACACAACTCAATTATAAAGATTGCTTGTCATTATTTTGCCATAGCCTACGCGTTTTTGTCTATTGAATTCAGTACACACTGCAGTGCAACGTTTTGCGATTCACATTTACAATGCAGTGACGCTGACATCGATGCTAATGAACAAAACAAGGCACTCCCAACTTTTTTTTTAACTCAACGAATGTCCTATTTCACTTGGAAATAGGTCTACGTCATATTGTGAAAGTAAATGGGTTGTGAATAGCAATTAATGTTGACCTTAAAGAAAATACAAAGAGAAAACCAGTGAAAAGAAAGTGAGAATCAGTCAGGTTGATGTGAAAGTGAGGGGAAGACATTTTGAAAGCACTAACCAGCATATGCCAATTAAAGTATACATTTACATAAGCATGTAAACAGGACCATTCCTGTCTATGAGCAGAAATGTCTCAGAATGTGGATTATGGGACAATTTCCCCATGTGCGTTAAGATAAAATTACAGGCTACAATAGCATAGGTGAGAACCGCTGTACACATGGTTTAACCTTAATGGCGAAATGTCCTGTGTGAGGCCTGTGGCTTTCATTTTAGGCTTTACAGTTGCTTTGAAAATGTCCCCGCTCTTTAAAGAACTCCCACTGTAAAAATCATCATTATACAGTTCAAGTATGAGTTTTCCCTTTTATATTTATTTCTTGTCTTTTCCATCGCCCTCTTTTTCATCTGAACACACAAAGCCAGAAGCGTTGTGGAATTTACATCCCTGGCTAATTTTAGGGATGGGTTTCTGACCAAAAAACACATCCTCCAATTTGGGGCTATATTGGTCTTCATCCCTCAGTTTTTCTCTCTGTTTCTCACTCTCTCCTCACTTATCCTCACTCTCTTTCTCCTTTTCAAGTCATTCTGTTTGTCTTCATGCCTTTTCCACGTTTTTAGGCTTTGCTACCACACACACTCACCAACTCTGTTTTCTCTTCATATTTGGTGTTTTTGGTAACTTCAGAAGTAACGCTCAACCAAATGGTCCTCGAAGTTGTTTAAGGGCAAAGATTTTGCATGGGTGGGGAACTAAAACACAAAAGTGAACAAAGTGCTCTCAAATCAAACATTACAATGTATTAACATTGGACTGCATAAACCCAACAATGCACAAAATTATTACCATTACATAAGCTGAACTGGAAAAATGACAGTTCTTGGTTTTTAAATGTCTTTTTAATTTAGATGGTTTCATGTTTTCTGCAGTGCGCAGCCAATAATTTACCGCACAAAACACATTGTAGTCAGCATAAAACCACATTTATCCTTGCTGCATGTGAACCTGTATTTAATGTAATCTGGGATATATATATATATATATATATATTACTTGTGTAGTTTTGTTCATTATTTTTCAAGCTTCAGGAATGAAAACTTGTCACTCAACCATATATCTTCTTAATTTTTCTAGTAAAACAGTTACATTTTCTCCAAAATACTGGTTGAGAAGCCTGTTTATGTTGCTGTTTTAATTATTCACAATAATGTTGTTTTATTATTTGAGTAGTTTTCTTCCCTACAAAATATGACCCTATAGAAAAGACAAGTGGCCAAATCC